GAGCTCCTTGCCCAGCGTGAGCCCAGCTCTAACACCTGACCACCACCAAACAGGCAGCAGTAGCCACCACATTGTGATCGCTTCCCCTGGGCCTCCCAACACAGGTCTAACGAGACAGCTCTGGTGCTGCTGGTAAGCGATACAGACTGTGTTATTTATAGCAAGAGCTCTGTAAAGAACATGGAGCAAACCCTGTCCCTCGGTCACAGGCGCTGGAGGTGCTGATCACGCTCCAGCCCACCCAGGAAAGCATCAGAGCTGCTCCCCAGCCCTCTGATACAGGAACAGGATGGGTCTGCTGACAACCAGCCCAAGGCAAAGGCACAACCCGCTCTACAGCCTGCAATGCCCTTTGTCTCCTTCAAGCACATCTCAAGGGTTACAGATGAGCCCATGAAAACGTTAAAGGCTGCGCACACTTCCTCTTTTAAGCACCTTCCCAACGGTCAAGTAAAATCATAAAAACTGCAGCACAGCATTGGTTTTCTCCACCAGCTGGAAAAAAACAGGTCAATTGCCAAAGCCTGTCCAACATGGGGCAGCCCTCCTCGCACCAGTTTGCTTTGAGAATCTCTGCAACCCGTCCTTGTCCAGCAGCAGAATCCAAAGCTCAGAGCATCTCGAATGCCTCGCTTTCCCCCCAGACCGAAACTCAGCTGTGCAACAGTAAACAGGTGAAAGACATAGACCCATCGGAATGGGTCCAGTGGAGGGCCATGAAGATGATCAGAGGGATGGAGAACATACCCTATGAAGACAGGCTGAGAGAGCTGGGGTTATTCAGCCTGGAGAAGAGAAGGCTCTGGGGAGACCTTATAGCAGCCTTCCAATATCTGAACGGAGCTACAGGAGAGCTGGGGAGGGACTCTTTGTCAGGAAGGGTAGTGACAGGACACAGTTTTAAATTGGAAGAGGGGACATTTACGTCAGATATTAGGAAGAAATTCTTTATTGTGGGGGTGGTGAGACACTGGAACAGGTTGCCCAGGGATGTTGTGGATGCCCCATCCCTGGAGGTGTTCAAGGCCAGGCTGGATGGGGCTTTGAGCAACCTGGTCTGGTGGGAGGTGTCCCTGCCCAGGGCAGGGGGTTGGAACTTGATGATCTCTAAGGTCCCTTCCAACCCAAATCATTCTATGATTCTATGAAAAGACAGACTGAGGCTTGTCTTTTCCTGCCTCAGCAAGTGTCTTTCCAGTCACAACAGTAGCTAAGGAACCAGACTCGAGTATCACAGAATCCAAAGACCCAGTCTATCAGCATTTTCTCTCCAAGAATCCTGCAATCCCTGAAGAAATGTAAATCCAGAGGTGCAAATGTCATCAACCAGCTCCAGATGAAAAATTATTCAAGAAACTAAGAGTTCCACTAGAAGTGAAAAAGACCACAAGGACGTAAAATAAAGATGCAGTAGACCCAGCACTTCATTTAATGTATTTCTGGGGTCAGCTCCTCATAAACCACAGCTCCTTCCTTAACACTTGACAGGAGTGTGGATCGAGAGCATCAGTTGTCCAGCCACCAAGGGACCACCTACCCAAATAACAGCAAACTCTTTCAAAGAAAAAGAGAAGCAAACTAACGGCAGAGGGGCTGTCTGTGTTAATTTTCTGAACTTCCAGCAACAGTATACAAAGAAGAACAGCAAGACTGAACGCTGTACCGGGATGTACTCACAGGCACAGCGTGTACTGCCTCAAATCCTTCTCTCAAGTCCCGCACCTGACCTCGTACCCGGGTCCAGATGGAACACCATCACCCTGCCTTCATCTGGACGCCAGCGTTCAGGAACCTAAGGAGGACTGCACCTCCTATCTAGTGCGCCTGAGAGCAGAAATCACCACTGACAGGAAAACGAGGATTAATCAACACGTCAACCACTGTATGCACAGACACACCTATATACAAGGGATTTGTCTCCAAAATGTACCCCTCCATCTCAGAAGCCGGTGAAGCAGGGGTGTAAAGTGGAAAGTGCTCCAGCAGCTGAGCTTACAAAAAGGTTAGTAACACATCAAGCACAGAACAACAATCAGACAACAACAAGGTCATTTCTGTCTGAAGGGAGGTTGTTGATGGCTGGCAAGAACTCAGATGTCACCTTTCAGCCACCCACAGGTTTTAGACTCTGAAGGACAGAAGCACAACCCCTCCTGTGGCACCCGCGCAGGACGCAGCGCCTCAGCACTTGGGCGCATTTCCAGTCGCGGGACTGAAGGGTGTGTGCCGGTGCCTGCCGTTATTCCCCCGGTGTGAACCAACACATGTTCAGTTACATCGACCGGTACAGCTCAGGCTGGGCTGCTGTAGCGGGTACATCACCACTGAACTCACAGCCCCACCCACACGGCTGTGCTGAGGCTCTCCCCCCTCGCCGAGCCCGTAACTCCGGTCACACCGAGCACGCCCCGCCCGGTGCGCTGCTGCGAGCTCCCACGGGACCTGGCGGCTGTAGCGGGACAAAGGCGGGGGAAGGGCCGGGGTCCCATCGGCGCCCGGAGCCGCGCCCCGGCCCCCGGTACCGCCCCCAGCCCCGGGCCGGGACCCGACACCGGCGGAGCCGCCGCCGGCGCGAGGGCCTGGCTGGGCGTGGCCAGGGCGGCCGGCAGCCTATGGGAGCGGGTGCTGGTGATGTAACGCTTATCACGCCCTGCCATTGGCTGGCGCAGCCGTCCTTCAGGGAGCCGCCCCGGGACCGGAGCGCTCCCCCCGCGGCAGGGAACGGGGCGGGAGGGGGCTTCCCGGAGCCTCGGGGAAACAGCGGGACTCGCGCGGCCACCGCAGGCCCTTCCGCCGCTCCACGGCCATTCCGGGCGCTGCGGGAGGCGGGGCCTGCTCGGGCGGCGAATTCCGCCCAAATCTGCTCATTTACCGCAAACCTGGAGCGCTTAACGCCCTTGCCCGGTGACATGGACCGTCTGCTCCCCGCACGGCCCCGGGGCGACATCACCACTGCTGGGAAGTTATTTTTGATAGCTGCAGACTTTCTGTAACCGCCGAAAGTTTGGTGGAACCAGTGGTTACAGAAAGTCTGCAGCTAGCAAAAATAACAAAAAGATGAAGAGACACTTCACTCTGGAACGCCAGGATGCTCGGAGGGCAAAGCTGTTACTCCACAAGTAAAGTTTGTGCTGGAACACCAGCAGTGGGAGAGGTTACTCCCAGGAACAGACCAGCCCAAAAGCTGAAGATGGCACAAAGAGTGTGATCTCATGCAGTTAAAGCCAATTAATGCCACTCCACACGCCGGCGTCTAACCAAAGCCACGCATTTACATGCAAGATTAAGAGACAAAATGGAGTATAACTGCATGATCACTAAAAGCCTGTTTTCTGTGCAGACGTGGGACACGTGGCCCGGGTGCGGTACCGAATCAGCGCTCCCTGCAGGGAGGTGATGCAGCCTTGATGGGTGAGGGCTTGAGAATTGGAGGCCCCAAGTTTACCCCAGGACAGTCAATAATTCGTTTTGTGGCCTTCAACAGCCATTCCTCTGTCTGTAAAGTGGAATAAAGCCCACACGTCTAATATGCAGAGGCAGCTTGCCTTCAAACCAACTGGCCACCCTCATTCTCAAGCCTGAAGACAGTAATTTACCCATGCCGAAATTTTAAGAAACTTCTTGTGCTTGGGCCTCAATTTGTCTGCAGAAGGAGAAACTGAAGCCTAAAGAAAATACTAGAGCGTATCGAATCTTGCATTTATATAGGAGAGTACAGAAGTGTCTGGAAGGAAATTTATCTTTCTATATCAAAATGATCAGTATTGAGTAAAACATATTGAAAAGATTACACAAACTGAATATCAGCTTTGTTCCCCAACGTGTGCCAATTCAGCACAAATCACAGGAAAAAGCACTTCAGGTTATCATCAGGATCACACTCTGGAGAATAGAATTAAAGCTTCATACAGACACCATCCTCGCTGCAACCCAAACCGTACAGCTTTGGTATGGTTTGAAAAGACACATTCTCACTACCTCATGGCAGGATTTGGCTTATGTTAACAAAACCAAGACAGCTTTCAAGCAAGCAAAGGTTAGGAACCGCGGGGAATCCTTGACCTTACTTTGACCTCCAAATTTACATCAGAATAAATGACTCTATCACCACCACCAGAGTTTGAACTACCCTGTGTCTACAATAACGGATAAAGCAGACAAACCTCTATGCTCAGCCCTGACTTGGCTGAGAAAAGCTACATCAGCACTTGTGCCGCAGCGTTGGAGTTGACATTTGCTGTCTTTCAGCAACTACCACAGCTTATACAGCTTGCCCAGCCAGAGCAGGTTTCACTGAGCCAACGCAAAGCAGAAACCAGTTTTTGGAGACAGCCCCCAATAAGATAAACAGAGCACAGCAAAGAGTGGAAAAAGGGAGAAGTCTAAAACAATAAGATCTAATCTGCTTGTGTCATCACACAGGAGAATTCTGATATACGCACTGAGAAGTGGATGCAAATCAAACAAGCCAAGAAACAAGTCTGCGTGAACTGGCTATGCTTTATCCTAATGCAAGACTTCAAAGCAAAGCAAAACCAAGCCAAAATTCAAAAAGCAGATGAAACTGGATAACTGGCTGCCTCTGCAGCAGGTACCATTCCCTTCACACTCCCTAGCAAACACCAAGGACTATCTAGTCATTGCTCTTCATTATCCTTAGAGCAAAAGACCTATGAAACAAGACCCACCGAGGAGTGTGAGACGCCCCCTGCTCAGCACAGCAGCACCTGTCCCTGACACCATCTGCACAGAGAAGTGGGCAGCACAACGGACACGCAGAGAGAGAAGCAGGCCCCGCTCCAGCCTCCACACTGCCGAGCCCAAGGAAGGATAGCCTTGCAGCTGGCGAAGGGCCATTCATCTCCCTGTGGCCCCGGGAGCATGACGGGCCCTCGGCACCGGGCCCGGGCTGACCCGGGACAGGTGGAAGGCAAGCAGCCGGCGGGGAGGACGAGCGTCCGCCCAGCCCGGGCTCCCCCCGCGGCGCACCCGGCACTGACCTCCTCCCGCCGCTTCTGCCAGCGGCCGCACGGCGACTCCTCCAGGATCTCGGACTCGTCCTCGCTCTCCTCCTCCTCCTCCTCCTCTGGGGGCGCCGCGGAAGTCACAGGCGCAGACACTGAGGTCATCCCCGGCCCGGACGACGTCGACTCCGGCTTCGAGTCGGAGCCGCTGCTCGGCACCTGCTTGGACTCGCCCTCCGACATGTTGCGGTCTCACAACCTGCGGGCCAGAGGCGCGGCGGCTGTAAGGCCAAGCCAGGCCCGACGGGCCGTTCCGGGCCGCGCCCCGGGCCTGTCAGCGGGAACCGCGGCCCACGCTTGCTGGCAGCGCCCGACCGCGCCGGTTCCAGACCGAGGAGACGGGCGGGAGAGGGAAGGGGGATGCGGGGAGGGGGCTGCGCACTCACCGGGCTCGCCCGGCGCCTCCCGGTCCCCGAGCGCGTCGCTGCTCTGCTGAGAGGCCGCCGCCGCCAACCGCCGCGCTGCGTAACGTGCCGTCCGGGGCGGGGCCTGCCGCGCGCCGGCCAATCAGAGACCAGGAGCGTGCCGTCAGCCTCCACGAACGCGCCGGTGGGCGGGGCTCGAAGGTACAGCGCGCGACAGAGGGCGCGCGCGCTGCGCGAAGGGCCGTGCAGCAGGACAAGGGGGCGGGGCCACTTAGCCCGGTGCGCTAGCCAATGAAAGCACGTAGAGGTGCCATCAGCCTCCGCTGATTGGTGGGTGGGCGGTGCTGAGTTTATATAAGGGTGGGGGTGCGCTGGGCCGGGGGGGGCGGCGTATCCGCTCCCGGCGGCTCTGGCTGTCCGCCGTGCGGCTGCACCGGACGGCGCGCGCGCGCGCGCTGCGCGAAGGGCCGTGCAGCAGGACAAGGGGGCGGGGCCACTTAGCCCGGTGCGCTAGCCAATGAAAGCACGTAGAGGTGCCATCAGCCTCCGCTGATTGGTGGGTGGGCGGTGCTGAGTTTATATAAGGGTGGGGGTGCGCTGGGCCGGGGGGGGCGGCGTATCCGCTCCCGGCGGCTCTGGCTGTCCGCCGTGCGGCTGCACCGGACCGACCAGTGAGCACGGCGCCGCCCGCCACCACGGGCAGGCGGTAGTACCGCCGGTCCCCAGTCCCCTGTTCTCAGTCCCTGATACACGATGAGTGTGCTCGAAGCGTAGCTGCCTGGGGCCGCCACCAGCTCCGTCTCTCTGGGGCGGCAGGGCCAGCTGGCCCGGGGGAACCCGCCGCACTGGGAGGAGGGGGGAGAAGGGCAGCGCCGGGACGGTCTCGAGCAGAGCTGACACGGGGACGAGGGGGCAGCGGCCGACCCCTGCGGGCTCGGGGCCGCCGGGCGGAGCACGCTCGCTGGCCCTGACGCCGCGCTAGCCGCCGCCCGTCTCTATGGTAGGCGCTTCCGGCTCCCGCGCTGCGGCCGCGCGGGCAGAGCGCCGTCCCACCGCGGCGACGCTCTAGCCTGCGCTTCCGGCCGCGCGACTTCCGCTCCGCGGCTCCTCGGTGGGAGGTTCCGCCGCCCTCGCCGCCTCGCCGGGCCGCTCCGGTCCCGCTCCGCGCCCAGCCGCTTCGCTGCCGCCGCTCCCGCCCCTCCGCCCAGCGCCGCCGCGCCGAGGGCCGGGTTCGCCGGCGGAGGCCGCCGCGGCGCCATGGGCGCCTACCTGTCGCAGCCCAACACGGTGAAGAGCTCGGGGGACGGGGCCGGGCTGGGGCCGCGCCCGCTCCACTTCGGCTTCAGCGCCATGCAGGGCTGGCGCGTCTCCATGGAGGTGAGCGGGGCACCGGGCGCGGGCTGCGAGCCCGGCGGGGCGGCTCCCTTCTCCCCCAGCCCTTTCCCGCTGCCCCGGGGAGCCCAGCGCGGGGCCGGGCGGGGCGGGCGGTCCCCGCCGAGGCCGCGGTGTCCCCGCCGTCGGAGCGGAAGGAGCCGCCTGCCCCAGTTGTGCTGTGGGCTGGCCGGTGTCCCGTAGGCCGCCGGCTGGCGCGGTGACCCGCCGGAGAGTTGCTCCCCGTCAAGGGGGCACGGCGGTTCCTCGTCGGGGGCTCTCCCGGCACGCGCAGCCCGGGGACCCCCGGCCGGGAGTGAGAGACCGGGATTCAAGAGTGGCGGAAACGACAGTGTAGTGCTTGGGATGAATGAAAGCAAATGAAGAATCCTCAGGCAAAATCCCCGCTTTTTTTTTCTAGGTAGAAATGAAGCGTTAGTCTCTTTCTGTTCTCTTTTTCCCTGTTCTTGGTTTTTTTTCTATACAAATTTTTTGGAGGAATTCTGATTGATGCCTGCAGTCTCCTCTAGCCAGGCCCGGCTTTACCATCCTATCAGCCAGACAAATGAATGGGGCAAATGAGATCATCAGATAAATACTTGGGTGCAGGAGCTGGGTGGGGGATTCTGTTGGAGCTGCTGTGTAAGGGCGATGTTGAGCTGCTGGGATTACTCTCCCTGTCCAGCAGCTACTTCTTTGCATTTATCACCCTCTGTGAGCACCATTAATGTGCAGGTTTATTTTTCCTTCTAGGCAGCCAGCAAAGAGGGTAAGTTAGGGAAGGGTTAATATTGGTCCCTTCAGCCCCCCCCCCAGGTACATCTTCTCTGAACAAGGTAGAGCAGCTTTCTCATTTGTAGCCCTTTGGCTAGTTTGGAGAGTGAGTCCCATTCAGACTGTCAGGAATTGATTTTCTTGCCAGTCTAGTTTGATAAGCCACACTCTCCGATACCGTACAGCAGCCTCAGTGGTGACAAAACAGCCACCAGGTGTTTCCTCCTTTCTGTGTGCATCGCAGCCTTGTGAAACTGTGGGCTCTTGCATCCAGGGTAGGAGAGGCAGGAGAATTATGCTTGTGCTCTTGAGATAAACTCGGAGTGTGTGAGTGCTTACTGTGACTGAGAGTGTCTCAGCTGGTCCACCCTGGTGACCTCTGGAGGGGTGAAATGGTGGCACAGACATTACTGGAACGTTGAGGCAATGTGCAGTATAATCTCTCAAGGCGATTAGCTCACAAGTCAGAGGCTGATTGCGGGCAGTGTTCTGGCATCCTTGGTGCACAGAGGCTTGAGGTGTTTTAAGGAGACGGACTTGGATGAGGGAGACCAGAGAGCTGACCCTGTTTGTAATGCTGGTGGGCTAACATAGCCCTCCCACAGGTGGGACAGTGGCTCATAATTTCATTTATTTGAGGTCTGTTCTTGCTGCTGTTGACCTTTATGGAAATTGGATGAGACCCAGAGCTTGCAGCTGTGTTTTCTGCATGAGCTTATCTCCCTGTTGGCAGAAGCAATGCTGAGGCCATTGGTGTGGACATGGTTTAGCTGCGTTATCAACAGAAATGAGAAGACAGCAGGGGTGCTTGTGTTACAAGTTGAGCCTGCTGCAAATTTCTTCTAAGTCTGTGATGGGAGAGAAAAATGTATTGTTTGGCACACAGCTGAGTAGAAGTTCTGCTGCGTTCCCCACTTGCATGAAGAAGTGGTGTTCCCTGGTGCTCGGTGTTGGGGCCTGTTCTCTTTAATATCATTATCAACAACCTGGAGGAAGGAATGGAGTGCACCCTCAGTAAGTTTGCAGAGGACACCAAGTTAGGTGGGAGTGTTGATCTGCTGCATCTGGACAGGCTGGATGGATGGGCTGAGGCCAGCAGTGTGAGGTTCAAAAAGGCCAAGTGCCAGGTCCTGCACTTGGGTCACACCAATCCCATGGACACTCCAGGCTGGGGGAAGAGTGGCTGGAGCTGCCCAGGGGGAAGAGGACCTGGAGGTGTTGGTCAACTGTCAGCTGAACATGAGCCAGCAGTGTGACCAGGTGGCCAAGAAAGCCATCAGCATCTTGGCCTGTATCAGGACCAGTGTGGCCAGCAGGACTGGGGCAGTGACCGTCCCCCTGTACTGGGCACTGGTGAGGCCCCACCTTGAGGGCTGGGTCCAGTTTTGGGCCCCTCATGACAGGAAAGACCTTGAGGTGGTGGAGCGTGTCCAGAGCAGGGCAATGAAGCTGGTGAGGGGGTTGGAGTACAAGTCTTGTGAGGAGAGGCTGAGGGAGCTGGGGGAGGTCAGCCTGGAGAAAAGCAGGCTGAGGGGAGACCTTACTCTCTACAACTCCCTGAAAAGAGGGTGTAGCCGGGGGGGTCGGTCTCTTCTCCCAAGTCACAGGCGATGGGACAAGAGGAAATGGCTTTATGTTGCGCCAGGGGAGGTTTAGGATGGATATTGGGGAAAATTTCTTACTCTAGAGGGTTGTGAAGCCTTTGGAAGAGGCTGCCCAGGGACATGGTGGAGTCTGTCCCTGGAAGTATTTCAAAGCTGGGCAGGCGTGGTGCTGAGGGGCATGGATTAGTGGTAACCTGTCAGTGCTGGGTTAATGGTTGGACTTGATCTTAAAGGTCTTTTCCAACCAAAATGATAGTATGATTCTCTTTTCGTGTATTCTGTTGCTATGTGTTCTTCTCTGTGTCTTGTCTTGTCTTCTTACCTTTTCTTTGTGTTGAATTGTAAGTATGATTCTCTTTTTGTGTATTCTGTTGCTATGTGTTCTTCTCTGTGTCTTGTCTTGTCTTCTTACCTTTTCTTTGTGTTGAATTGTACTTTTGCTGTTCTGCAAGGATTGGAGAAAGTTCTGAGCAAATGTTTAGGCTTAAGGCTTTAATTATGTGTTACATTAGTGAGGCCAGTCAGAGTGTGTACAAGTTGTCTGTTGCCTTTGACTTATGTTTCAGGAGCCCCCAAGTGAGATAGGTGTACAGGGCCCTGAAGAAGTACTATAATAAAAATCCATTCATAGTCCAGAAAGGCTGCATTGTGTATAAGGCAATGTTTTGGGCAAATGAGTGACTCAAAGGGTAAGGATACCAAAAAACAGTGTTAGGTACGATGAGCAAATAAGAAAAGAGAAGAAGCTGAAGATGACTTTGTGGTACAGAGGGGGTGCTCTGGGATCCAGTGGAAGGTGTAGGAGGTATTTTGGAGGAGGATGGTTGGGATCTCCAAGCTCTGGTGCTGTTCTGACTCTGTCTCCAAGACAAGACACCAACAGCCCCTGTGCAGCTTCATTTCATCTTAGGCTCAGAAAAAAGACCTTGCTTGGGTTGGTTCAAAATATGGAGATTTGTCAAATTCAGTTTTAACTCATTTTCCAATTTCAACCAACTTTAGTGTTTGATGTTTCAAGTGTACTGTTTCTCAGTAACCGCTGATGTGGCTGGGGGAGACCAAGAATGATGTCCCCTGGGAGGGGAAGGCGAGGCAGCAGAGAGGGGAGGGAGGGGATTGCTGGTATCCGGGCTGTGTGAGCTTTTGCTTGGTCTGAAGAGTGTGAGATCCTGGTTCCTCAGAGGACAATGGCTGCAGACGGCTCACCAGCCCCTTCTGCTGGCAGTACAGGGTGGTTTTGGTGGTCAGTCGGGGCTCTCTGGGCTGCTCTTGGTGTTGAAGGTGCCCAGGGCTGATGTGCAGCACTGGAGCCCAGCACAGGGCAAGCCCTCTCCTACCAGTGCATGGTGGCCATGCTGGTCTGCTCTCCCCGCTGCAGCCAGGACGAGCTGCGGTCACTGCTCTACCAACAGCATTTTGGCTGCCAATGTTGGGTTTCCTCCCCAGCAGCATTTGCTTTACTTGCTCTAATTAACTGCTGTTTAGTCACCTGGGATTTACCCCACTTACTTTGTTGTGGTTTTGCTGTCTCACTAGCTTCTGTAAATGCTCCAAAAAGTGAGCCTAAAAATGCTGATTTTTTGCTTATTTTTATTTTCATTCACTATCTCCAGTGAAGTCTTTGGTTACGTTTCCTACATTGTAATTCAGAGTCCTTTTTTTTCCATTTTGAACTAAGTTTGTAATTGGCCTGTTCAGGTATCGTTTTCATCACAGTGTCAGGAGTTTCATTGGACTAAGTGCTGCATAAACTTAGAACCTCTCTTTTTCTGTCTTTGATAGAAATTGCAGGGGAATAGAGTTCTGTTCTCATAAGACTGTGGGTTTCCAGAGAGCAAAGAGCTCTTATTCAAGGAGTCCTACAGTAAAAAAGTAGAAGAGCTCAGCAGTTGCTTGGCTGTGCAGCAAACATGGCTCTGGCTGTATATAGAAGTTCTGGGTGATGGCTGGCAATATGGACACATCCAGATCTTTGAGCCGGCTGTCTTGGAGTAAGCATGATGTTTGGGGCAGCTGTAGCATATTTAACTTTAAGGTGATGAACTTGAACCACAGCAAAGAGACTAGAACACGTTTTTTAAAATATCACACGATTGTTCTTGAACTAAAGTGTGTGGGGTGCGATCAAGCTGTGAGTCAGTAGGACTGGGCTTTGACTTTAAGGGATGTTAGATTAGCTGGGGGGGAGGAGATGTTCAGAGAAGGACTCAGCCCATCCACCAGTTCTCGGCTTTGCATTGGAGGAGCCAAGTTGGGTTTGGCCCTGTCCTTTTCTCCTATTTCTTTGCAATCCATGTCATTCCAGACTTCTGCTCTCTCTTTCAGGACGCGCACAACTGCATACCCGAGCTGGACAGTGAAACAGCCATGTTCTCAGTCTACGATGGACACGGAGGTAACACATCCACCATTCTCTCCCGAGTCCTTGCGTGGCCCCTCTGGGTTGCTCAGTGGCTGTTTGGGCAAGCATCTGCCATTAGAAACCCTACTGCTTGGGAAGCATTTTCTTTGATACATATCATTGATTAAGGTTCTGAAATTTTATTAAAATTTAGGTTTCTAGAAGGAAGGTCATGGGTTGATACAAAATCAAAATGACATTTGCATTCCATCTTCTAGAACTTTGAAGAATGCCTGTTTTTTTGGTGGGCGAGCTGGACAGGATAGTCACTGAGGAGCTGCAGTAAGAAAAGCTGCATGAGATGGGACCAAAGGTCTGACTCCAGTCAGCATGTTCTGGTGGTTGCCAGCACTGGTTGCTCAGGGAAGGAGTGGAGAAAACAGAAGAGGCAGATCCATTCATATGTGTCTAAATACCTTTGAGTGGGATCTACTTTCAGCCTTGTGAGGATGAGACAGGATGGGACTCTGTATGTACATGTGCTGGGAAAGATTTGATCTGGGAACCTGTATCTCTGGAGGCCTTTTCCTTGCCTGAGTTTTGCCCTGAGGCTGCTGCTTGTTCTTGTCTTCACATGTCAGATCTCTTTGGAGACAGAGAAATTGTACAGCAGTGAGATTCCAGCTGGGTCCCAGGTACTCTGGAGCCAGCCCTGCCTGAAATGCTGGGGTAGACCGATCATCGGAATGTCACTCCTGCTGTTAAAGCTGAATCAGATGTAGGTTTTGGCAGTGGCATCTAGAAATGTGCTGAGACCTGGCCTTTTCCATGTCCACTTCCACCTTTCTGCGTGGTCTTTCAGACATCCTGGAAACTCCACTTGCTTTTCATAAACAAAAGCCATCCCTTCTTATAATTTTGTGGGAACATAAAAGTACAGTCCCTGGAGGATCCTTCAGATATTTTCTTTTTCACTTAATTCAATACTACACGTTATGTATTTTACTTCAGCCTCCCGAAGACCTTCACACTATTGCATCTGTGTTGGTTCATGCAGGAAACGCAGCTGAGGCTGTGGCGTTGCTTAGCTGGATGCTGCCCCTCCAGAAAACATTAATAAAATGATTCATGGAGAGTTTCATAGTAGTTCCACACTGGACACGAGGGAAATGTCAGTGGGTCTGCGGTGCCAGCAGCTAGGCCTGAGGTCTGTGTGCTGGCCAAAAGCTGCCTCCTGGGTACCAGAGGGACGCACACCTACTGGACCTGAGGGCTCCCAAGGAGAACCTTGCTTTTCTAGATGTTCAGTCTGCAGCAGAAATGTCTGTTGGGACATCTGTGCTGGAGCCACACAGCAAGTGGCAAGGGTTTCTTGTCTTCTGTGGCACCTGCAGATTCTCTTGGAGTAATTTCTCTTTGGGCAGCCACAGCCAGGTGCACTGGAGATTTCCAGGTCACTATTTAATCTCAGTGTGCCTGTTCCAAAGAAATGGCTTGTTTAACTGCCAGATCTTTCCATATTGGGGGCTGTCTTCCTGTTCCTGTGGTGACAGAACGAGATCCTTCTCTATGGCAGTGCTGGGGATGGCATCTTCCCATGGGCCATGCCCTGCCTCTCGCTGGGGGGGCGCCGGGGCTGCAAAGTTCTCAGTGGCTTTATGAGATCAAGCTGCTCGTTGCTGTGATGAAAATCCCTTGTCCCTCACTGTGGCAGGAGGAGTGTGATGTTGGGTCATCCTTTCCGTCTGGTGGGTGATCGGGTGTCCACATTGGTATTATTAGACCCACCAGCTGCTTCCAGAGGGCACAGAGCCGCTGTCTCATCCACAGACCCCGTGGGCAGGGACAGAGCCAGCCATTGCTCCCTTCTCCCCCTCTGCTCTCAGCAGGTGGCTGTGGCCAGGGCCATTCTGCCACAGCAGTCACCGGTACAAGCGATGGAGGCTTCTACCCACCCTGTTCCTGCTCAGTGCCTTGGGGAAGTCTCTGAAGAGCCATGGTGCAGCATGGAGATGACCCTCTCGTGTCCCTGCCATGCACTGGACAGTGCCTCAGAGAGTGTCAAAATGAGAGGGGAGAGGCGTCAGCGCTATGCTGCTGCTCCAGATGGGGCCGGCAGAAGTGACTGCAAGTTGGAGGAGAAGCTGGAGGAGATGGCAGCTGCCCCTGCAGTGACTGGTGGCTGTGTTGGCAGTCCACTGGGTTTGTTCATGATTTGGGATGAGAGATTCCTGCAGTTTTCCTAGTTTTTCTCCTCCTCGTGCTGCTGAGGCACATTCAAGGCACCACCTTGCTTGATGGTAGAGCCTTTATGTGGGAGTGTGTCATTGCACTTTAAGCGAAGTGGTCATTTATATACCTATGTGTATATGTAAGCTATATATAATATAAAAGTTATATACCTGACCTAAATCTGTTACATCAGCATACTTAGTTTTATCGGGCAAAATCATAGTATCCTTAAGAGCAGATGTTGAGTTGGATTGGCGAAATCTGCTCCCATAAGCCCGTGTCAATGGTCAGTAATTGTCAGACCTCTTCATCTGAGATCCTCTAAGGGCCAGTCAGTCTTCTGTGTCTGTGATTGTCAGGTCACCTTGGTATTCCCTTCCTAGTTCTCATTAAAAAGCTGGGATCACTCCTATTCCTTACATCACTTATTTTTGTGGGTTTTTTTCTCTCCCCTCTTCCCCCAACTCTGCATTTTTGAGAGCGTGGTCAGGGTAGAGTTCTGTCTCTTTGTTGTGTGGAGCCGCAGTATTGAACTTTTTGCAGCACTCTTTTAACAGGAGCCATTTTGCAAAGGTTTCTGTTCTTTGTCAATGGCCACTTGATCCTTTCTCTGCGGACAGGGTTGAAAAGTCCCTTGTCTGCTGTTTCTTTCTTTCTCTCAAATCTCACCACCTTTTCGTTTCCCACTATGTTCCCCGTGCCTTTCCCGTTGCTCAGCTGATGGATACATGCTTCCCACCCTTCTCACGCTTTCCCCCGATCCCCCTCTCCTGGGCAGAGCTCTGCTGCTGTGTGTGTTACTGCTTGTTGTGCCCAGATTCCCCCACAGCCTCCGCTCGGCTGAGGATCAGGACGTGCCAGCTGGGTGGCTGCTATGGCTCCGTAGCTGGGAGGATGGAGCATACCAGGCTCTCTTGCCTTCACCGATAGCCACAGGAATGATGGCAGTGTGTGGAGAGGCTCCCCAGCACGATGCTCAGCCCACTCATACTCCTCCTTCACCCTGTGATAGAGAATGGCTCATCCAGCAGTCACCTGCGCCCCCCCCCGCTCCCCTCTCTGCTGCTCTTCTCTGCCTGACATTTACTTTGTTTCTCAATTTCTAGCTCTAATTTTTCTTTCTGATGACCTGTGAGCCAGGTCCCTATGAGAGGTTCTTTGCCTCTCATATAAATCTCTGAATTACTAGGTTGATCTCTCACAAGTCGCACTGTTCTTTCTGGTCCCCCTTACCAAGATGAACTCCAGAAATTCACAGTCATTCGCTGTTTAATCTTCTTCCTCTCTTAATAGCACCTTCATGGCATAAAAAATATTTCCTGTGCTCTGTTGCATACTTGTATTAATTACTGAGCTGCTGGAGTGTTTCCAGCTTTTAAAAACTGTTCAGCTGCTGCAGGAGCGGGCACTTGGTGTGTGTTGTTGGCTGTCGGTCCCAGTTATCCCTCTGCCCCAGCAGCCTGGTGTTCTGGCCACCCTTCGCTTCTGCTGGGCACACACACACACCTTCCCTACCCAGAACAGGACCCCTGTTGCTCTGAAGGCCTTGTCTCAGGGCCTTTAATTGGTTGGGAACACATGCTAGAATACACAACACTCTTTGTGCTGCTCGTCAGGTGTCAGTAACACTCTGAGGAAGAGCTTACACTGACCAAAATCTTCCCTTTTCCTTGCTTGTCATTTGTACCCACACTTCCGTGTGAAGGCAAAGCTTCCTAGCTAGGATGGGCCCAAACGGCTGACCTAAGGGGCCAAAATGGGCCTGAGCTCCCTTTCAGGAAGCCGATGTGGGAACCTTTCAGGAACCTGATGGGTAAGAGCTCCGTGAGGTTTGCCAGGGGTTGTCAGCAGATCCTGCTGTTGTGGAGAGGCAGCTGGCTGGGAGGTGGGGATCCCCAGTGTCCATCCCTGCCCGACTTCTCCCTGCCTGGGGTAGTTCTGGTGGGTGCCGCAGGAACTCGGCTGTTGAGAGCACATGTTGCTGCTGGGAGGACCAGCCTCTTTAAAGGGTTTCTGCTCTCTTTCAGGAGAAGAAGTTGCCCTGTATTGTGCCAAGTATCTCCCTGAGATAATCAAAGACCAGAAGGCCTACAAGGAAGGCAAATTGCAAAAGGTAAGAGTCAAACAAGTAGTCACCGAGGCAGCGGAAAGCCCTTATTTAGGGCTTTGGGTACCAAATACTTACATGCAGGATCCCGTCCCTCCAAGGTCGATCTACTGTGTCTTTCATTTTAATTTCCCTTCCTTGTTTCTAGGAGTGTACACCAGGCATTGATTGTATTTTCGAAGATAATGACTCTATTTTCCAGCTTTTTTTTTTTTTTTTAATTTTCAGACCCATTCCAGTCAAAGGTGTGGGCTGGTTCTTTGGGTTGTTTTGGTGGGTGGTTTTCTGAGGGACAGGGGTAGCTTCTGTCAGAGGTGGGAGGTTGGTTCCACCAAGCAATCCTCCTGTTGTAACCCCACCTCGCAGTGCTAGTGCCTGGTATGACACAGGGGGGCCCAGGCGTTGGTGCTGGGGGTCCGTAGCAGCGTGGGTGAGGGGGAAGCAGTCCCTCCACAGCTTCCATGAGCAGCTAGATGAGGAGAGCCTGCAAAGCAAACTTCAGTCAGTTTTTGGCTCTTGCTCTAGGCTGAAACACCCAAGTTTGTGGCTTTGCTGAGCCCACGCTGGCTGTGCTCACTGCCAGCCATCAGTCTGTCTGCTGAGCCAGCCCCACAATGGCTCTGAATGCCATCGTGTCCCCAGCCCCATGGGGTCCAGTAAAGCTTTGACTGGGTGTCCCCTAGATCCCCCTGGAGATGCTGTGGCAGCCTGGGCTGGGCGAGCACAGTGAGGTGCAGGGAGAACTGGCTGCGTGGCCGGGCCCAGAGTGGGGAGATCAGTGACACAACGTCCAGTTGGAGGCCAGTAACGACCAGTGCACCCCAGGGTTCTATACTGGGTCCGGTCTCATTTAACACCTTCATTAATGATGTGGAGGATGGGGCAGAGTGTACCCTCAGCACGTCTGCAGGTGACACCGAGCTGTGGGGGGTGGCTGTACCCCAGAGGGTCAAGCTGCTTCATCCTGCAGAGGGGTCTGGATGGGCTGGAGAAATGGGGTGACACGGACCTCCTGGAGTTCAGCAAAGTCCTGCCCCTGGGGAGGAGTAGCCCCGCAGCACCAGTACCTGCTGGGGGGCACCCAGTTGGAGAGCAGCTCAGCAGAAAATGTCCTGGGGGACACCCCACTGACCACGAACCAGCAATGGGCCCAAGATGCTGAAGCTGTTGGAGTATCCTTCCCATGGGGAAAGGCTGAGGGAGCTGGGGCTGCTCACCCTGGAGCAGAGAAGGCTCAAAGGGACTGAGTCCACGTGCATAAACACCCACAGAGAGGGTGCCAGGAGGACAGAGCCAGGCTCTTCCAGTGGTGCCCAGTGCCAGGACCAAAATGGCACAAACTGGACCACAGGAGGTTCCCTCTGAACATGAGGAAACGCTTTTCCAGTGTGAGGGTGACACAGGCACAGGTTTCCCAGAGAGGTGATGGAGCCTCCATCCTTGGAGCTGTTCAAGAGCTGTCTGGACATGGTTCTGGGCACCTGGGTCTGGGTGTCCCTGCTGGAGTAGGGGGTTGGATCAGTCGGACCCCAGAGGTCCTGCCAGCCTCAGCCATTCTGTCATTCTGCTTGGTGTGCTTTCTGGAAGAGACTTGGCTGCACGGCATGACAGGCAGCATCCTGTAAGGAAGATGAAACTGTGCATGCTCTCATGTCTGTGTTCATATGTAGGCCCTGGAAGATGCTTTCTTAGCCATAGATGCCAAGCTCACCACTGAGGAGGTGATTAAAGAGCTCTCTCAGATGGCTGGGCGACCCCAAGATGATGAAGATGAGAAGGAGAAGGTTGCTGATGAAGATGATGGTAAGTCAGATACCACTGAATAGACAAGACTGCAGCTCCAGGGCAGGGGCTGAGAGCAGTTGGGCCAGGTCTGCTTTAACAGACTTTCTGACCAAACTTCTCAGTTAAATTTCAGCTGGAAGAGTTCCACTTCTCAGCACTGCTTACTGCTTTGGATTGGTGCTGGGGGAATTTATTTGGTGGGTGAATAACAAACCAGTCTGTCAGTTTTCCGTAGGACCTCCTCTGTGGGGTGCAGAGTTCTAGGATGTGTCAGGAACCTCTGGGCTGGGACGTGGGCTGAGTTGTGAGGTGAAACAGTGTGATGTCACCTACTGAGCTCTCCCAGGCTGGTGGCAAACACAGATAGGATTGAAGAAGATTCCGATCTCTTCAGCAATTTTTTTTTTTCTCCCAAAGAAGCAGGTGTGCTTTTCCACCAGCAACTAGTTGCCAGGCCACAAATCCTGGGGTAGAATCCTGTGCTGCTCTTGGCTGGATACCTTGCGACTGGCCTTGAGGCAGATGTAAAGCAGTACCGTCATCTCAAGTGCTGTATGTTGGTCTGAAAATGCTGGATTTGTTGGCCCTCACCCTCCAGCTGACAGGGATAAAGTGGTTTAGAGGGTGGATGGGTTTTTCTCCTTTTTGTCCTGTACTTTCAGGAGTATTTAGGATATGGTTATTTCTCTTCCTTTTCGGATTAATTAGCAAAGAAAATAGTGACCAAGGAGATGTCAATAGAGAAACAGTGGTCATTGGCTCATAGTTTGGGCAAAGTCACCCTGTTTTATGTCCACTGTCCCACTTGGGAGAGTGACACCTCAAGCCAAGCCGTTGTGTTTGTGAGTGTCCAGACTGCAGCTGGTTGGGGTCCCCTGGGTGCTTGAGGCCCATGGATCAACTGCAGTAACAAAAGCTGCTTCTTCCCAGTTGCACTATTAATGAACAAGCCTGCACACGGGAGCAGTCTGTCTGCTTCCCCCGCGGCTCCAGGGGAAGCACAAAGCTTTTTACCCTCCGACCGTACAGCTCTGTGGATGCTCTGTGCTGCCCGCGAGCCGCCCGCAGGAGCAGCAGGGTGGCTGGCAGGCTGCAGCCTCGGCTGCAGTTGGGAGCCATTCCCCTGCCCTTTGCACCGTCCCTGGAGCTGTGGGACAGCACAGGTCTGGCTGCGTCGGTGTCCCCGGTGACCAGCGCTGCTGGAACCTGTCTGCAGTAGCAACCTTCAGCTGCTGCTGCAGTGATGTACCCTCCTTTCTGACCCTCTTTGTCCTCACCCCCCCCTCCCCTTTCCGTTTTTAGTGGATAACGAGGAAGCTGCTCTTCTGCACGAAGAAGCCACAATGACCATCGAGGAGCTCCTCACACGTTATGGACAAAACTGCACCAAGAACCTCAAAAACAAGTCTTTAGCTCCGGCTGGGGAGAACGCTGCAGAGGGGACAGGCAAGCAGCATGATGGGGAGTCAAATATGAATGGAGAGGCTGACGCAGGGGAGCTTACCGACCACAAGGAGAGGAAGAATGGGAAGCCAGATGAAGAAATCACGGGTATTTCCTCCACCTCAGACAAAGCCAGCGCTGGAGGCAACAGTCCTGCTCTGCAGAAGCCTGAACTAGGCAAAGGTGACGAGGCCGTCACCTCTTCTACTGGGGAGGCCGGGCCCTCCTGCTCCTCTACGGGAAAGCCCCAGCGCACAACCAAATCCAAATTTTTTGAGGACAGTGAGGATGAGTCAGATGAGGTTGAGGAAGAGGAGGAAGACAGTGAGGTAGGAAACAGCACCGGGGCAGAGTGGCCTTCTGGCTGGGCAGAACGTGTTGCTTACTGTGGTTCTTGAGCTACGAGCCTCTGGCTCATCCTAGGTGTGTCCTGGGAGTAGGTTTTTCAGGCTGATACTTTGAGACCATCTCATGGGAGTGTTGGGGATTGTGTAGATAACCCTGAAGGAAACATACCCTCATCTGTGCAGCGGCCATAATGGACAGCCCCCAGTCCTACTGCATGCGCCATCCCTCCATTCGCTGCGGTAGCTGAAACCGGCTGCTCTGACTGTAGGCATCAGGTGTGGGGGAAACCTGCCCTGGGGCCACCATGTCATCTCTCCCCAGGATGGAGGGACCAGCTGTCTGGGGAGGGCACTGCGAGTGGCCTGTGATGACTCCTGGTGGTATCTCTCCTTTCTTGCAGGAATGCAGTGAAGATGAGGATGGTTACAGCAGTGAAGAAGCAGAGAATGAAGATGATGAAGATGACACTGAAGAAGCAGAGGAGGATGAGGATGAAGAGGAGGAGATGTTGTTACCAGGCATGGAGGGGAAAGAGGAGGTGCACACCCTGTTCTTGTGTTCTGCAGTGTAGTGTGGAGCCAAGGGGGGCTCAGCAAGGAGTTATTTCTGCTCAGAGGGGGATAAAACAACCCTTTTGTTCTCCTGAGGCTGAACACAGCTGCCAGCAGCCTGACTTCATGGAGAAGACTGAGGGGCAGGGCATGAGTCTGGGCAGCAGGTTGAGATTGGAAGAGGTTGGCATCCCTGCTGGGTTTGCTGGGCATAAAAACAGAGGTGGGGTTGACATGGAACGAGAGTATGGGACAGCAGCAGGACCGCTCTGCGGGCACTGCGGCTCCTGGGCAGAGCATCATTCTTTGCCAGGCCAAGGCTGGGGCTCCTCAGCCCGTGGCAGTGCTGGCAGATGGGCCAGGGACCCGGGATGTCAGGAAAAGGGAATTACAGCTTCCAAGGTGCCAACCTTCTCTCTTTAGTGACATCTCCTGGCTTCTGCTTAAGCTGGGTTGCAGTTGGAAGCAACACATTAGAGCTGAGGGTGTAGCAGAACACATTGAACCCTGGAGAATCCTGAGCCACCGATGCTCTGTGAGGCTGAAATGAGGTTCTACTTGACCCTGCCTCTCGATGAACACGCTCCTGCTGTGTCTCATGCTTCCCTCAGGCTTTTCTCCAGTGTTCCATGAGTGCTCATGGGAGAAAGGGGTGAGATGCCTCACCTCAGGGTTTGGGACGCTGCCGGTGCTCATGGCTAGTGCTTGTTCCCTTACGGATCTGATATGGAGCAGGAGAAAGGAGTCTCAGCAAAATCCTTTGTCTCTTGCAGCCTGGCTCTGACAGTGGGACAACCGCTGTCGTGGCACTCATCCGGGGCAAGCAGCTGATTGTGGCCAACGCTGGAGACTCGCGCTGTGTGGTCTCGGAAGGTGGCAAAGCTGTCGACATGTCGTATGACCACAAGCCAGAGGATGAGGTGGAGCTGGCCAGGATAAAGAATGCAGGCGGCAAGGTCACCATGGACGGGAGAGTGAACGGCGGCCTCAACCTCTCCAGGGCAATCGGTGAGTGAGGCAGGGGGGATGCTGCTGTGATGTCCCTGCTCCCAGCACTTGCCAGCCGCTAAGCTTGAGGAACAGTTTTTAAATGTATGATGAGTAGAACCTATTCAATAGTTGATGTGGTGGGATTCTAGTCTAGGTAGAGAAAAGGGCCATTAAACTGGCAGACGTCAGTGGAAAGCAACACCGAGCAGCCACCAGGGTCCAGCGCAGGACTGTGTGTGAACACAGAGCTGTTGTGCCAGCAGCTGGGCTGTCAGAAACCACCTCATACAAACTGACTCAAAACCAGAGTGTTGGCTTTTGAACAGGATTTTTTCCTGTTAGGAGGCTGTTGGAGGACCTTGGTGTGTTGCTTCCTGGGAATCTAACTTTATACCAGTGTGAGCTCATTTGTTCCTGACCCAGCCTTGCCTTTTAATTGCACAGAGTCCATCCTCCTCGCTGCAGTGCTGCAGACAGCACCTGACTGCCACTGTACTACTCTTGCTAATTGGAGTAATTAATGGCTCAGGAGACTGGGCATGTCTGTTAGCGGCCAAACGAGGTCTTGGCCCAGTCAATGGCTACAGTCTGAGCAGAATAGATGCTGGGAGGCATTAAGGAAGGGGTAGTGAATAGCACTGAGAACATTCTGGGGAATCCTCAGAGAAGGGAAGTAAGTGTCAGCAGTGAAGGGTGTGAGTGGAGAGTACTTGTGCAGAAAGACCAAACCCATTGAAATTACTATCCTAGGGTAAAGAGATAAAAACACATTTAGGATGGAAACTAGGAGTCTCTTCATCTAGGGAGACGCTGGCATTTCCACCTATTATTTTGCGGTGGCCCCAGAGGTCCCTTCCTAGGATGTAATTCCAGATAATCCTGCTAGTCAGAGCTGAGGATGGGTTTTCTCAGGTGAACTTTGGCTGCGGAGGGTTTGGGAAGACCTGAACCCAGCAGTGTGATGCAGGAACCGAATTGAAATATCTGGCCCTGGACAGCCTGAGCTTCTGGAAAATGAGCACCTAGTGTTATAGCAGAGCCAAGCTGGTGCTGGGTGAGCTGCAAATCCTGCTCCGAGACACAGGATTGCTTATCTCACAAGCAGAGCTGCAGGGTCTCAGCCGATGCTGTAGGGTGCCACGTGCTGTTGGCCTGGTGTTGCCCCAGGAACTGCAGAAGTGGCACTTGGTTTGGGGTGAAGAGAGGCTGAACTGGCAAAGGCATCTCTTTCTTGTTGTTTGGTGACAGCGTGTTGGGCTCACCAAGGCTGATGCCTTGGACACGTGGCAGATTTCTGTGTCAGATGTGCTCACAGCCTGATCTGCTCTGGTTGTGGGAGCTCTGGCTCCAATTTTGCCGGGGTTGTCCTTTGGCGAGGCGGTGTTTCTTGCTGCTTAGGGGTAGGCAGCACCGCCAGGGCCAGCCACAGCAACAGCCAATCCTCCTCCCTGCTACAGGTGATCACTTCTACAAGCGGAACAAGAATCTGCCTCCAGAAGAACAGATGATCTCTGCCTTGCCTGACATCAAAGTGCTGACAATAAACGACGACCACGACTTCATGGTCATTGCCTGCGATGGAATCTGGTGAGTGGTGAGGGAGCATTGTGCCTCTTGGGCATCACTGCTCTGGTCTTTCTCTGGGGATGGCCTCGGGAAAGGCCAGAGGCCCTGGCTGCTAATCAGCCTTTCTTTCCCTACATCCTCAGAGAGGTGAGTTGGGACCCCGAGGACTTGTTCTCAGTGGGAGGGACATGACAGTGAGCTGAGCTCTAAACCCTTCTGTTCCTCACTGCCTGCAGCTTTGTTCACATTGGCACCCTGCTGTGGGGGGCTTTCTGGGGACACTGTGGCATCACTGGCCCCTTGGCTGGCCTTTCTGACCTCTCCACTCTCTGCAGGAATGTGATGAGCAGTCAGGAAGTGGTGGATTTCATCCAGTCCAAGATCACCCAAAAGGATGAGAATGGAGTCCTGAGGCCGCTTTCCTCCATTGTAGAAGAGGTAAGGTCCAGGGCTCCCTCAGCCCTTCAGCCCGCAGAGTTCCTGCACCCCAGCTCAGTGCCCGGCTCTCCCCTCCCTCCCCGTCACACTGGTTTGCTCAGGGCTCAGTGTGTCTGGCAGCACATGGGCTGCAAACGCTGCCTGGAACAGGAGCAGAGACACCTCTGAGCTGGGACCCAGTTCCTCTGGCACCCTCACCAGTGGTTCTGACCTCTAGGGTTCCCTCAAGCCAAAGGAGTTTCTGCTTTCAGAAAACCAGGGCTGCTGAGGCTGTTTCCGTCCCGTGTCTGGTTGCTCTCGGCTGCTCGAACGGGCCCAGTGCCTCGGGTTGTACAAAGTGCGGTGTCTGTGTCCTCTGCTGACCCTCTCCTGTCCCTCCTCAGCTGCTGGATCAGTGCTTGGCTCCAGACACCTCAGGGGATGGCACTGGCTGCGATAACATGACCTGCATCATTATCAGCTTCAAACCCCGTAACACACACCCGCCGGCGGACAGCGGGAAGCGGAAACTGGAGGAGGCGGCAGCGCCGGCACCAGCGGAAGAGAACGGCGGCGACAACAACAACAAGAAGAAGGCCAAGCTGGAATAACGAGCCCCACGCAGGGACTTTGCTGTGCACTCACCAGACTCTCGTTTCTTAAACATGCTGAACTCAAGACTCCAAAGTCTTGTCCTTTTTTTAGCCTTAGCAGAGGCCTTGTTTGTCCGTGTCCTGGTCGGGGGGTGGGGGGTAGCGAGGGCATGTCGCGCTGTTCATCTGTAACCATTCCAAAGAGGGAGCCCAGGGCAGAGCCTCCGCGCGGGACCCTGCGAGCACAGAGCCCCCTGGTTAGGAGGAGGATGTCCCCCCATCGTCTCCATGTGGTTGTTGCCATTTCCGTGCCTGTGAATTTCTGTTTGGAGGGAAGAACTTTTTCACTGTTGAGGTTTTTTTAATCTGCACCCGATTATTTAAGGCCCTTTGTTTTTATTTGTGAAACAATCTGGCTGTGGTGCTGCTGCCACACCTCATCCTGTTGTACACTTTCAATCAATACTTTTTTCAAACTAAAAGGCCAGAAAACGTAGCTGTGCTTTTGGTCTTTGGTTCTTGGCTGGAGGTGGGGGGTGAGGAAGGTGGGTTGGGGAGGAGAATGTCTGTCCCCGGTGTCTCAGGGCACTGTGGGGATGCGTCTGCAGCTCCATTCTGCTGTGTGGTTGCAGAGCCCTGGCCCCTGCAGCCTCTCCATTACCCTGGGGTGGCCCAGCCAAGGACAGTCTGTGACAGGAGACATGTCGTCTCTGGGGAGAGTTTGTGTCTGTGAAGGGCCAGGGGTGCCAGTCACCCCACTGGGGTAACTTTCCTGCTGCACCCCATCCAGCCGCCTGCTTTCTTCAAGGTGTGACCGACCAGAGGAAGCAGAGATGAGGTCACCTGGCAGAACCCCCTCTGCTCTGGGGTCCCTGTGTCACAGGGGAGAGCCCTTTGCACTGCAGGTCTCCCCTTTTCGAAGACGAACGCCACCCCTCTGGTCCTGGGCTGTTGTCTGAGCCTCTCTGTTTCAGTCAGCCCCCCCAGTCTAGATGGGCACATCTCATGTCATCTTCAAGCCCCTTCCCTGGTGGCCCTGAGCTTGAGCCCCCCTGTCCAGCATCTCTCCAGTGAGACTGTCCAGGCTGGGCTCCCACCTCCCTGCTTGGGACTGGCAGTTCAGGACCACGAACACGCAGCTGCTGCAGCCGGAATTGCTGCTCGGGCCATTCCTGTGCTCAGAGACTCTGGACGAGCTGATGCGTTCCCCTGCATCGGTGCTGGCTGAGTAAAGCACTAGAGGAGAGGAGTTTTTTATTTGCAAACGTGGATTTCTTCTCAGGACATCTTTCATTTGCTGCCAGATGGGTTTGCCTCAGGATCACACTGGCAAAGGGGCAACTCGGTACCTGATGTTTCCTCCCTGCCATGAACGTGCTGGCCCGGCTGCCTCCCAGCTTTGAAGAAACAAACTGAATTGTCACCAGAATGAGCAGAATTATTTTCTGCAGTCCTAAAAGCATTTGTTATTTCTGAAGCCTCTCCAGTTCCTCTGTGTCCTTTTTGGAGCGGGGATGGTAGTGACACTGTAGAGCCTTGTGCAGAAGAGTAAATCCAGTCCCGGACGGAGCACCTGGAGCTGCAGGGCCCTGCGAGGCTGAGCTTGGTGGAGTTAAAAACTGCTTGAGTTGCCTGTGCCCGCTGTCTTGTGCCTGCTGCTGGGCATCAGTCTCCAGAAGGTTTAGTTTTAAATTTTCTTCCTGGTCATTAAAGAAATTTTCCGATACAGGACTTGGCACCAGTCTCTGTGGATCCCCCTGGAATGGCTCTGGTTAGTGGTGACCTCACCTTAGTAATTTGTACGGAGAGGTAACTGGTTTTAGAAAATACATCGTGTTTTGTCATGCTAATTTTTAATCAAAATGCTTTGTGGTGTGTCATGTGCCGTATCAAAGGCCCTTGTATCTAATTATTTTCATTAACCCAGTGAAGCTGTTGAAAGGATGGAATCGGGAGTTTTCTGAGGCCACCCAGCGGGGTCTGAGGCAGCAGCTTGTCGCTGTGATGGAGCCAGAGGAGCCGAGGACCCCAGGGCTGGGGATGGTCCTGGTCACCTTTTCTGAGCCAGCAGAGTGTAAAAAGTCACAGTAACGGATCACCACAAAGTGATCTTTTCCCGGCATTTTCCCAGGTGCGTGGACTCTTTCTGTTGTGCATGGGGGGGCTTGGGGGACAGGGAGGTACCAGCAAAGGGAGGGACACGCACCTCGGGGCGAGCTCCCCAGCAAACGCCATGCTGGACTTGCTGGTGAGCAGAAGAGCTTGAGAGCCAGGGTTTGGTGTGGCCCGGGACAGATCCTGGAGACATCAGATGTCTGAGAGCTGGTTACTGAAGGGTCTAGGATGCCCAGGCTGTTGGTGAAGCGAGAAGCTCGGCTGGAGGCACAAAAACACAGAAGCAGGAGGAGTAATTTGATTAATAACCTGACCCAGCTACTCCCAGGCCTGTCAGAAGAGAAGCACCAGCCCCTCTAAGGCCAGTGTCCAAAAATCCAGAAGGACAGAGAGGTACAGGAGCTGGAGACGGGCTCAAATCAGAGACCTCTTCCTGGGCCCTCCAGGGCTATTCCAGGAGAACCATGAGCCCCACAATCCAGGCATGAAACCCATCATCTGCCTCATTGGGAGCTCTCTGGATCACCTTGTGAGTACAGAAGGGTGGCTGCCCGGGGGTGGGATGCAGGGAAAGAGCATATGGGGATAGCACAGGATTTATTATGGGTTGTTTAGGGGAAGACCAAAGGTGGGAAAAGGGAAGAACTTAGATTTGAGGAGGGAAAAGTGTGGGAAATAGAGGGATAAGAGAATAAGAAAGTCTTTGTGTAAGCAGGGACTGCTCAGCATAGGCCATGCCCTGTGCCTGACCCCCACAGTCTCTCCGGACACCTTATTGAATGCCACCTTCAACCACTTACTTTCCTTTGTGTGAGTGTGGGGCGGGCAGCGTCTGTGGCGGCAGCAAGGGACACGTGTGTGAGCACCAGCAAAGAGCAGCCACACCAGCACTGGGCAGTCAGTGCTGGGGCCTGGGAGTAGTGGAATTGGGGGCAGGGGAATACGTGTCTCTGGCTGGGCTGCAGGACGGATCCCTGGTGGGGCTCAGGACCCACAACCTCAACCTACTTGGCCCCAGAAGCTTGGGAGCAGAGGCAGCTGCCCCCACCCCAATGCCACAGCCTGTCTAGGGCATTCCTCAGGGGCAGCCTGGTTGCCCACAGACAGGGCAGGCGGCCACAATGACCCCCTGGGCATGGAGGGACCAGGTTGGCCACCACCGCCTTGTCCACATCCACACGTAGAAATGGACACCCTGCAGCTCGTGCCAGCATCCCATGGGGTGTGGAGGGAAGACGATGCAGGACATGGAGCACTGCATCTTCAGTGGCAGCCATGGGCTACCCCGCACCCCAGCAGGACCCACGTGTGTTGCACATGGCACCGGGGCTGGGCCCCTGCCCCAATTGCTGGGCTTGCTCGTGCTGGCTGAGGGTCTGCAGCATCCCCCCCTCCCTGTGCTCTGCCGGTGCTGCCCCCCCAGCTCTGGGTGTTTGCACAAGGGAATATCCCCACTCTGCTCCGAGTCCCTGGCCCCACTTGTCTCCCCCGCCGATACCCCCCTGTCCCTCCCAATGCTCAGGGATTGGAGCCTGCTGTGATGGGGCTGCACCACAGGAGACACACAGACCCTTGGAGAATAGTTTTATTTCCTGGTGGTGCCAATGCTCAAGGCTGCCTTCAGGGAAAGGGCGGATGGAGCTCAGCGCGGTAAGTGCCCACCCGGCCTGGGGATGGCCAGGACCCTGTTCCTGGGGCTGGTGGTGGCCACAGAGGGTGAGCAGCTCTGCCACAGGAGGGCATGGGATTTTCATGTCCATGGCAGGCGGGAGCCCAGGCTGGGGGCTCTGTGTATTGAGGGTCCCCGTCTCAGTGCTGCAATGTCCCCTCACTCCGCAGGGACGCCCACGGCACTGCACGGGTCGCTGCTGCCTGTCAGGGAGTCCCCAGAGAGACTCTGCCCCGACAGCACGCTGCACAGGCTCTGCTCCCGGCCGGGATGCGGCATGGCCTCGATCGACACCTCCACCTCGATGTTGATGCCTTCCCTGCGGACAAACACTGGGCATGAGGGCAGGAGCCAAAAGGGGACATCGCCACATCCCTGCCTGGTACAGTGGGTGCAGGAAGGCTGTGAGAAAGGGGAGGGGCCAGCCCCCCCTGTGCCGCCCCAGCCAGCAGCCCCGCTGACCTGTAGGACGTGTCCTGGCCCTCGCTCAGCATGCTCCCCGCGAGGGCCACTGTGCTGGCTGACTGGCTGTCCTGCTCCCTCCACACTGCCCCGTGCCGCGGGCTGTGGCTGCTGCTGGGGAAGGAGGTGGTTGTGTCTGGGACCCCGTCCTCACCCCCCCTGGGGCTGGGCAGCACCGACCAGAGCTCGTTCACTGGTTGGGGGGAGAGATGGTGCTGAGCACCCCATCTGCAGGGACCGCTCGCTGTCAGAGCCTCCCCCAGGACACCATCCTGCAGCCCCTCGTGGGGACAGAGGTGTGTGGTGTCCACATGGAGCCCCTGGCTCTGGAGATGTCACAGCCACTGAGGCACCAGGCAGGACCGGAGCCCCTGTGGCCCCACGGAGGGTACGGGGTGGTGGAGAGACAGCAGCGCAGGACTCACGCTTGGTCAGGTTCTCCAGCTCCACCACACCAAGATCCCCGGGCGGGCTGCGGCCGCCCCCACACCCCCAGCGGCTCCGACACAGCGACAGCACCACCACGCCATAGACGTAGGTGAGCATCAGGGGCACGCCGACTCCTGTGGGCAGACAGGATGCTATTTCCCTGTCCCCACCAGCAGCTCCCGCTGGCCTGTCCCCCTCAGGTGAAGCCCTGGTGGCCCCAGACTCACACATACCCCCCCGGAGCCACTCCACTGCAGCAGCCCCCAGGCCCCAACCCCACTCTCTCCAGCACTCAGGCAGCCCTGGCTCAGACACTCACCCACGGTGACAGCTGTGATGATGGGGGACACAAAGAGAGAGAGGAGGACGCTGCTGGTGACAGAGAGGCACTGCTGACACCCTGACAGGCTGCTCCTCCGGCTCTGGCCCAGCACCTCGAGGAGAAGCAGAGCAGGTGAAGTGCTCTGCAGGGATCCCCGTGCACAGCCCCCAGGGATGGGGCCCCTTCCCAGCCCTGGCAGAGCTCTGGCTGCAGCCACAGCTGTCTGGACACCCCCTCCATCTCCTCAGGGACAGGCAGCCACAACAGTGCTGCCACCACAGCCCAGGTGTCTCTGGTAAACACCCCTGGACCCCCAGACCCCTTCCTCCTTTTGCCCACCCCAACCCGCACCTCTCCGAGCTGAAAGGATGCTCACTGGAGTGTGCTGGGGTGGGCAGCAGAGAGGGCTCCCACAAGAAGGGGCCATGGGGAGTCAGGGGGGGGCACAAAGTCATGCTGGGGACAGTGGTAAGCCCTGCGTGTCTGCCAGGCTCAGCGGGGAATGGGAGCATGGGGGGCTCCAGGGCCCCCTGCCAGTACCTTCCTACCCATGTAGATGGGGATCCCAATGGTAATGACAGGGACAGCGATGCCTGCAACGAGGGAGATCACCATGGGCGCCCCCAGCACCATGCCCAGCTGCCACAGGATCTTCCGGGTCCGTGACCAAGGCCTCTTCCCCCAGAAGGTGCAGCCAGAGGGGCTGCGGGAACAGAGCGGGGCTGGGACCAGGGGACCAGCACAGCCCACCCCCACCCCAGCCCTGAGCTCTGGCTGCCACCAGGGACCCCCCAATGGGGTGCTGAGGGCCAGCCTCAGCCCCAAGCTGAGCCAGCCCCCAGCAGCACAGACCACTCTGCTCTCCCCCCGACCAGTCCTGCAGCCCAGCCAGCCCCAAACCTCACTGCCCATGGCCATGGCTCTCAGCCAGGCCTCTCTGCCCCACATCCCAGCCCCACAGCTCCTGGCTGGGTCCCCAGCCCTGCCCGGCCCAGCATCACAGCACCCGCAGCTCAGCCCAGGGACAGCTCTTCCATGCACCCTGCAGCTCCTGCAGCCCCAGGTCCCCAGAGCACACCCCACAGCTCCCTGTGGCTCCCCAGAGCACACCCGACGGCTCCCAGCGTTCCCCTAGCCCTGCACTGACCTCAGGAAGTGCACATCGGAGATCTCCTGCAGGCAGAGCCAGCAGAAGAGGCAGCCGCAGACCGTGCAGTTCATGCGGTTGCAGCTCCCGTCATTGATCTTCATGATGAAGGCACTGCAGCGGGGACAGACTTTGATGTCCTCAGCCTCAGCTGGCAGGGGGAGGAGATGAGACAGGATGGGGGGCAGCAGGACAGGGCAGTGCCGGTCCACCCCCACAGCCTGTCCCGGAATTGCTGCCCATCCCGTGGGTGTGGGGGTGAGCCAGGCACAGCGAGGCCCCGCTCCACACCCCCAGCTCAGCTGTCTCGAGCCTCCACGCAGAGGCAGCCACTGGGGACCAGTGGGGACCACTGGGTCCCGGCTCCAGCATCCCCGTGGGCATCCAACTGCCAAATCCCTGCCCCGCCTGCTCCCACCCCAGGCCAGGGTCTCACCGTGGGCCGAGTCCTCGGGCTGGACTTGCTGTGCGGGGGAATGGGCCAGGCTGGGGGCTGGTGCACAGGGGCCATCGGGGTGCCAGGGCTGCCGGCAGTGGTAGCAGAACTCAGTGCCACAGCCCTCGCGCCCGCAGGTGAGGCGGGGACACTCGGCGCAGCCGTAGGCGATGACAGCGTAACTGTGGGGAGAAGGTGGTCGGTGTTGGGGGGCCAGCAGTGTCCACGGCTCTCCCTGCATCCCCGCACAGCCGTTCCCCCCCTGGCACCGCCAGGCCATGCAGTGGCAGGTCCCAGCTCCGCACCGAGCCAGAGCTGCAGCCCCTGCTCTGGAGAGACCCTGCAGCACCCACACAGTCCCCCGGGGGCCTTGTGCCCTGGCCCAGCACGGGCAGGAGCACCAACCCTGGCACAGACACGCAGCTGCCTGGGCTCTGCAGCAGGGACAGGGAGCGGGACATCTCTCTGGGCAGGCACAACCCCACAGGGGACCAAGTCACAGGGACACGGAGCCTGGGAAAGGCTCGCAGGGGACAGGCTGGGGAAGCCTCGGCCAGTGCAGGGAGGGGAGACCCACACCGTCCCCCAGGCCATCCCCCCGCTCCCAGCTCCGCTCGAGGGGCCGGTGCCTCACCTGCAGTCGGGCGCGGGGCACCATCGGGTGCCGGGGTCGGCCACCAGCAGCCGCCGCAGGAGGAACTCCTCGTACTTGTCGCGGAGGGCGGGCTCGGGCAGGAGGCGGTGGACGTCGGCGGGCTGGAGGGCGGCGGGGCAGTGTGGGCAGGCCACCGGCACGCGGCTCTCGCCCACGGCGATGCGCAGGTACTGCTGCAGGCAGGCCCGGCAGGAGCGGTGGGCGCAGGAGGCCAGGCTGGGGAAGGCCTCGGGGGGCTGGGGCAGGAGGCAGAGGGGACACTCCTCCAGCTCCTCACCCTCACCCAGGGGCAGCACCACCTGCGTCTCCTCAGGTTCTTCCGGCTCCGGCTCCAGTGACTTCTCCCCCTCGACGGCCTGTGGCTTCCGCCCAAAGAAGCCCAGGAGGCGGAGGGGCCCGGGGGCCCGTGTGGGTCGCTCCATGGTGGCCCGTCAGCAGCTGTCGGGCTACGGAGGGCAGCAGGGAGGTGCCAGCCCCAGCACAGCCCCCATGGCCATGCTCCTACCTAGGCCTCAGGGACAGCATCCTCCCCACAGGTGACAGCTGAACCATCTCCAGCCGCTGTCAGCGCCGCTCAGCCTGCGAAGGAACTGCACGTGAGGGCGAGCTCGGGGCCCCCAACATGGGAACGGCCCCCAGCCCCCAGGAGACCCCACTTCTGTCCTGCTGACGGGCACCATTGCCCAGCCAGGCCCCGGGGCTGCCCACGCACCACCAAAAATACCCTGGCAGCTCCAGGACGGTGTCCTCACTGCCCCCAGGCCAGCCTGGCCCCAGCCAGCGGTCCCTGTGGGTCCAGAGCATGGGGCCAGCCCCACCAGCAATGCCCTGGCCCTGGCATGAGCCTTGCAGCACCGAGACCCTGGTCCCCTGCCCTGTTTCAGATCCTCCCTCCTCTGGTGGGTCATGCCCTGGCCTGGGCTGTTTGCCTCTCTCTGCTCCTGCGTCCACCATCTGCACAACGCTGAGCCTGGGCAACGCACCCACAGCCCATCTCCAGCCACCACATGCCCCTGGACCAGCTCTGTCCTGCCCCGTCCTCCCTCCTTCGGTTCAGGATAACCCCTGCCATCAGCAGAGCCAGCCCCTCCGCTGCTCTCCTTCCTCCTTCCGTATCTACACCCTACACACGGCACCACCGCACCCCTCCACCTCCAACGGCCTCTGCTGGGTCTTCCCATTGAGCACATCCAGAACAGCAGCAACACTGCCATGGGGAGAAGCAGGAGTGAGCCAGGGCTCGGGCAAGATTGAGGAGTCTGATTCCATCTGCTCGGCCGGGAAGGAGCACGGTGCAGCACCGCGGGCACCCCAGGTGACAAAGCACTTCCCACTGAGTCGGTAACAGCAGAGCTCATGAAATGGGGCTGAGATGGGATTTAAACAGCTGTTAGAGAGCGGGAGGTACTGCAGGAGGAGAGTGGGAAGGAACATGCCCAAACGCAGGGGAGAGCAGCGGGCCCCCTGTCCCCGTGACACCACTGCCATCACCGGGGACTCTGCCCAGCAGAACAGCAGGAGCCAGCTCCAGAGCAGCAGCACTGCCTGCGCTGACACAGTGGCCACCAGCCATTCCATTGGCTGGGGCAGCCAGCGAGGAGACACCCCATACCCTGTGGCTCTGGCACCAGGACAGCGGCACCTCCACCAAACCCCTCAGCGCACGCCAAGAAGCACCAGCCAGGATCCAAGCGGCCCCGAGGTACCTGTCAGCGGGGAATCATCGCTGAGGACTCAGCACGGCCATGGCTCCCTGGGACCGCCACAAATCCCAACACATCCAGCTCCCACAGCGACCTGCAAATGAACAAAAACTGCCTATGAGGAGGCTCAAGAGCACAGCAGCTCATGCACCCGGGGCCAGAGGGACACATCACTCAGCTCATTAATGGAGCTACGGAGAAGGCAGGATGAGTCCTGTCGATAGGGACCACGGCGGGGACCTGGGCATCGGAGGGGATGGGCACAAGGTACGGCTGGACCAGAGCAGGGGTGCCAGTCTGCACCACGCCGGGACGCTGGAGACAGAAGCTGCGGGTAACGAACCAAAGCGGTGGGAAACGCAAGAGCTGAGCTCTCTTGGGAGCAGAGGTGTGACCAGGCTACACGAGGAGCCACCACAGTGTCCCTGGGGCCTGGCAAGGTCAGAGCGTGTCTGAGTGTTCTGGGGCAGATTTTCTGGGAAGAGGGGTTACGGACCACAGGGATGTGCCAGGTGAAATCGGGAGCTCCATCGCATGGGGACCCATCGCCCACACGCAACCCTGGGAGAACCAGGCAACAGCTCTGTGGCCCTTGTGAGAGCCGTGACCTTGGGGACAGGACTGGCAGAGATAGTGGCCACAGAGGAGCCAGAGCACGGCCACGGTGCCCCAACACTGGGGTCACCCCTGGGCTTGTTCTGCAGCTGCCTCTCCTCCCACGCTTGGCTCCCTCTCCTCTGCAGCCACTTCCCATGGGGTCACCATGATCATACAACAATTCAGGTGGAAAGGGACCCCGGGAGGTCTCCAGTCCACCTTCCTGCCCAAATCAGGGTCAGTGCCATCGGTAAGGGCTTTATGCCAGTCGGGTCTTGAAAACCTCCAAGGACAGAGACCACACGACCTCTCTGGGCAACCTGGGCTGGAGTCCTTCCAGCCCCAGCGCCAGGGAGCAGGGACGTCTCCAAAGGACGGCTTCGGTTGCCTCTGGAGATGAGGCCACGGGCAGGACCGCAAAGCCCCCTGCACGGCCACGGCCCCCGCTCCCTCAGGCGGGACCCCAGCGCTGGAAGCACCGGGATGGTGACAGCCCGGAGCCCTGCTCCCCCCGGCCACCGAGCGACCCCTTCTCCGGCCCCTCCCCCCCGGCCCTTGCCCCCAGCCCCACTCTGCGGGACCCCCGGAGCCCCCCAGCCCGGCTGTGCCGCGCACTGCAGCCGTTCCGACCCTCCGCTCCGGCGGCCCGGCCCCTGCCGCTCCCGGACACCGGGCTCATCCGGCGGCCTCCTCCCCCCCAGGGCTGGGCAGAGCGGCCAGCGGGGCTGCGGGCACCGCCGCCGGTACCGGCACAGCACT